CTCGGGCGTTAATCAAAGGAAAGGCATTGGAAAAAAATTAAATAAAAAATACAAACTGACTTTAAATTAAAGTATTTCAATAGACTATAAACTTGGCAGAACATTTAAAATTATAAAGAAAACTTTGGTATGCTATCCAAAAATAATTGATTGTAATTTCGCGTGGTGGTTCTGCATACTTTGCTAAATCTACTGTGCATTTCCACACTTTTTCCGAACTGGCCGTCAATTTGCCTACCGCCAATTCTCATTACTTGTCTGTCACTTTTGATAATTGCATGACGCGTTTTACACGCGATTTTCAAACATTTCGAATACACAGACTCTTCTACAAACACCCATCCATGTATTTATGTGTGCATATAGGGACTATCGATGGCAGTTCCTTACAAGGATTTGCACTTAACCTGCTCCACTTGCAGCCCAACTTGGCATCGATTGAGATTGCAGGGAAATGCGAGCGAAATTGTGAGAAAAGCCGTCGAGAAGCGAACAAAAAACGGCTCCTCAAGTGGAAGCAATCGCTCAAGTTGGCAACCCTTTTTCCCACTTTTTATGGGTTTTCCCCCCTTTTCTTTTTGTTTTTTCTGCCACCTGCTGACGTCACTGTTGACCCACTTGCAAGCCGAATCGAATTCGCATTCAAAAGTGCCAACCAACTGAGATGCCAAAGATGAAGATGCACTGGCGAAAAAACGTGAGATAGTTCTACACTTTCCTAAAAATTACTAGTAAACTTGGTTGGACTTTCGCTTCAAAGAAAATATTTGTACTGTATTGTTATTTTGTTAGCTAAACATATCAAAAGTGTATATTTTTGATAGGTTTAATTCGAGTGTTAATAAAAAAAATATTTTATTTATTTACATATGTAAATTATTAGAACTTGACTATAAATTTAATTTCTCCAATCTATAAAGTATTTAAAAGTATAAAATATTTAAGAAAGGACTTAAATTATTTTGAATATTAATATGTGTATTTTTAAAACAAACATATATTTTTTTCTGTGCATTGAAAGAACCAAGATAAACGCCCAGCGAAAATACCCTCTGCTCACATTTCAATCTCTTGCCGGCAGTTCGGCTCGGATTCCTCTGCCATTGATAAATATGCCAAATCATCGGGCACGTCCTTAGAGCTCCGATCGGATCCCCAGGACACGTGCAACAGCTCCAGAGCCCCGAAAACAGAGCAGTGCCAAAAAAAGGGAGAAAATTAAGCCAGAAAATGAAAAGGATGGGGGCGGATGAAAAAGTTTTTCCATTCACTTTTCGTTTTGTTTGCCAAGTTATTCTGTCAAAATTTATTTAAATATTCTACCAAAATTTCCTGGAATACTTTGGATGGCCCCCTTTTTTCGGAGGAGAATGGAGTGTGTACTTTGACCCCCTCGATAAAGTTGTGGCGCCAAAACGCTTCGCGTTAAATAATTTCCCCAACAGTCATTAGGTGCAACAAAAACACACTTCTCATCTCTCTTTTCTGGCAGCGACAAATGGCAGCAAATTATGATCCTGCTGCCGAGTTATTCTGACGAAAGGGAAAACCCAACCCCATCCAACCCCAACCAACCCCATCCAAAATTTCGAAACCCTCAACCCAACCCTTACCCCTTCAAGCGTAAACTCTTCTCTTCTTTAACCAATTTTTCTTTCGGTTTATTCCGTCTTTCTTTTTTTTTTTTTTAGAACTTTGCCTGCTGCCAACAATTAATTGAAATTAACATATTTTTCTTCTTTTATTTGAGACAACTTCCCCTTGCCCCGACCGCAGTTCCTCGCCTGACTAAGTTAATTTCCCCCAGTTTTCCTTTCCTCCTCCTCAGCAAAAATTAAAATGCTGCGGATTAATTTTCAGCTTCGTAGAAAGGGAAAGAAAAAAATGAAAAGGGGGAAATAAGCCACTCGGACCAATTAAACTCTTGCCGAAAGTTACCAAATTGATTTTCCCAGTAATTCAAAATTTTACTAGTATCAAATTTCGTATTCCATCTGGACAGGTGAAGAACTTTCTCATTAAACTTGGTTCCGGGAAATTTTTAATGGGATTGAAGTGTTGTGCTAAAAGCTATTGCTTTATGTATCTTAAAGTCGCAAACTCATTCTAGAAACATTTGGACACAAATGGTATGCTTATGCATAGTTTAAACTTATTTTTCTTGAGGATACTTTCTTACTTGTACCTTAAAAAAATCAACTCAATAAGTAATACTAATACATAAAAAAAAATATGAGAAATATTTTTAAGATTTAAAAGATAGTCAATACACTACCTGCAAATCGAAGTTAATCTGCTACTAAAGCTAAATATATATTTACATATATTTATGTTATAAACAACTTATGAACGCCCAAAACAAGCATATTAAATTGCCGTTAATTTGAGGTCATCAATAGCACTTGGCTGCTTTTTTTGGTCCAACTTTTATGACAAATTGCAGGTTAAGCGGGGTCAAAATTAATTTTACAAAATTGTTTATGGCCTGTAAGTGAAGCGCTTTCATTTTTGTGGCACCTTTAATGAGCCAGACTCAAAGGCAGGGGCGCACGGCCAAGGGGGATTTGCCCAATTTCCAGATGGCGAGAGTAGGGGAATGTGAATGAGCCTGGGGAGAGGGAGAAAGGGGGTTTCCCTCAGTCACATAATAAGGGCATTCCTCATACGCCACCGATTCCCCAGTTGCTCCATTTGCAGCGCTTTGAGTTCTTATATATATGTATATATATATACTTTGTATTGTTGTTGTGGCTCCTCGTGGGCTCTGGCTTTATGAAAAATTATACAAAACTTTTTACTTAGTGCCACGCGGGCTCTGAACAATTACGAGGCCATCAGGGAAGTTGAAGGCAACAGGCCAAAGGAGAAAGGAGAACGGAAAAAGGAAAAGGGAAAAAGTGGGGTCAAGTCAAGAGGTCGGCAAATAAATAACGTGTTTGTAATAAGCCAGCATGTGTATATACTTGATTTGGCCCTTTAAACGATGCGGAAAGTTTAGGGGGGTAAGTTACAAATAGATGTGATATAATAGAAGGGAGCGCTGACCCACTTGAAAATGGTTTTCCATTCGAATTCTGGCTTATCGCTGCAAAACACAATCTGTCAGTTTTCCACTAATTAACTGAGTGGCAAACAATGTCCAAGATTTATGGGTATTTTTCTTGTCGGAAATTTGCTTAATTACAAAGTAACCCCCCCACCACATTTCGAATGGCATAAATCAGGGCAATTGTTTCAGAAACTTTGCTTCTATTCAGAAAATTCTCAAAAGTTTTTAGGCCAGCTTTCCGTTTAGACAGGGATTTTCAAGGGACTACTTATAGATGTGCTTCAAAATATTAAAGCTCTGTTAAAAAGTTAAATGTTAGAACTACAAATCAACAATTGTTGACTTTTACTTATTACTTAGTCACTTATAAATTTCTTTTTTATTAAAGCTCAATACCCAGCATTTCAATAAAATAGATTTAAATTAATCGAGACACTTATAAATGATACCTTAAGGTGATAATACACTTTGGTAAATCCACTTTAGTTATGTTTAATTTTTACAAGGAAAGCCGGAAAGTAGGCCACACTAATTGGGTGATGTTTCAATTGAAGAATCTGAATCTCAGAAGTAGGCTGTGCATTCTATGCACTTGCATTCCACTTCCAGTTAAATCTCTGTATCTCGGACTGCCATTTGGCTTTTGTAATTACGCACTTTGGCAAATTCCTTGCGACTCGTAAAGCCATTCCATGCCGGCACCTTTTGGCAAACTTTTGGCATTTCTATGGAATTCAATTTCAAAGCTATATCATTTTCATTTAATTTCACGCTTTCAATTTGCGACGCACACAAACAGAGGCGGTGGAGAAAGGGGGGCACGGGCGCTCTTTGTCCGGCCGCATCCCTTTTTTAGCCCCACCCCTGACCCCTGACCCCCTTCGACACTCTGGTGACCCCCTTTCGCCCGTGGTGACCCCGACCGCTCTACAAGAAGAGTCGCGGCACATGCCAAAGGTATGCCATAATGGATTTTTTGCCGTTGTTTTCCTTCGGCCACCCATTGTCTGTAGTAAAACGAAACCGCCCCTCGAAGCTCGCCCCATTTCCCCCATTTTCATCCATTTCCCAGCCCGGAATCAAACCGAACCGTAGCGAACCGCATCGCCCGTCAATTTAGCACTTTCAACTAAACACACGTGCCCCGTGTGTTTTTCGAATGGATTGGAATGGAAAAGAATAGAAGGCAAAGTAAAAAGCGAACAAAAAGTTTTCAAAAAACAAAAAAGGGGGAGAACTGCACATCGCTTCAAATGGCAAACAATAGTATCCATGCACGGGTCAAAGGGCTAAATCTGAAAACGAATCTGATTGCCCTGGCTGGAAATAATATTAATCCCTTTCAGAGTTCAAAAAAATATCAAATATTTTATATCCTAAGCAACAATACTGCATTCAATAGGTTTTTACGGAAGTAAAATAAAAATATTTCAGAACCAAGTACGTTTTTAATCTTCTTGGAATATGCATTCATAAAATGTTTTGTATCTAAATTTAATATATCTAAACTAATAAATGCCATAAGCGGCAGGCTAGTTAAAAAAATAAATGTTTTATAACGACAACAAAGGTTGTCGATATTTAACCCCTCGATTTTTTCACCATGCAACTGGCAGCAGTTTTTAAAAAATACTTCAAACAAACATTTTTAGCACCGGTGGCGATAAAAGGATTTTTCAATTTACGGAAAACCTTCGATGTGAGGGCTTTTGTGTGAGTGAGTGTGTGCGTTTGAGACTTTCACGAAATTGGTCAGCAAAAATTTGTTTGGCGTGTAAATTGAGCAGTTTTTTTTTTGTTTTGGTTTTTTGCAGCCATTGTTTAAGTTTCGTGTGCAAAGAAAAACTGCGGAAAATGCTTTTTAATCATTTAACTAACGTAATCAATTCTCCCACCTCTCTCTCTCTCTCTCTCTCTCTTTTCTGGGTCCTTTGTAAATTGCAATTCACAGCGCGAAACTTTTGATTAATTAAAAGTAAAACAAAAAGCCGAGAGCCAACCAACAACTGACTTCTGGCGAACCACAAAAAACACACAACGAGAGTCCTGAAACTCACCCATCAACAGAAAAAAACTTCTCCTCCAGTAAGCTAAGCAAAAAAAAAAAAGAAAAGAAAAACCAGATAGAAAAAAATTAAACTTTGACAGAACATTAACATCGAAATGGAATTGGCCATCAGATTTGTCAATCCGCAGTTAGCTCGCAACAACAACTACAACAGCAACAACGGCAACACTTACACCAGCAATAGCCAACAACTAATTACCAGCAGTAACTACAACAGCAACAATTGCAAGATCAACTACAACGACGAGAATATCAATCCCAACATCAATAGTGACAACAATATAACAACGATAAGAGCAGCACAAAGTGCAACAACCACCGGCAACAACCAATCAGCAGCAGCAGCAGCAGCAGCAACAGCAGCAGCAGCACTTACTTGCAACAACTTTGTATCGGCAACAACTAAGCGAAATGCAGCAGCAGCATCAACCATCCATCGATCAGCTGACCGAGCCCATTGCTTCGACCAGCGCTGCAGCGGCAATTAGGCAGGCGGCTGCAACAGCAACACCAGCAACAACATCGTCAACAACCAACAACTTCCACCAGCAACTGCAAGCAACAACGGCAGCAACCATGCAACGTCTGCGTACAACATTCACGCGATCGCGCACTCCCACAGGAGCCGAAATGAAGATGCAGAACAGCCTAGAGGTGCCCAAGCAGGTAAAAAAGGTGCATACTCGATAATTCCGATGTTACCTATCGATATTGCCCGTTTGTTTTTGCCTGTAGCATGCAGATTTGGATTGTTTCTACGGATTGTCTTTAACTGACTTCAGTCGTTTTGCTTTTTGTTCCTTTGATTTATGGTGTTTACATTTTTATTATGTCCCACGATGGGCGCCAATTATAAGTGTAATCAACTTTAAATTGAACCTACTTTGTCATAGGTTTTCTCTGGCTGTCCTTACGTTTTGTCCAATCGGTATAAAACGATACCTTTGCGTTTATGTTTTAAGCATGTTTTCAAAAATGCGATTGACAAACTGGAATCCCTTATATGTTGTGTTTTGCATGTCTCATTTTAAAAAGCCTTCGAAAAAATCAGTTTTTGTTTCCAATATCCCACGTTGGGCGATATATTCGTTTATTGATTGTCAAATTGCTTAGCCTTTTCTTTTCTGTTGTGTTTTGCATGTGTTAAGTTCGATAACTTCCGATAAATTGAAACGTGTGTAGCTAATGCCCCACGTTGGGCGCCATTAAATAGAGTCCCCTCTGACCCCTGTAAACACCACTTTTTGCAGGTGCGCTCAGCATCCTTCGACGAGATGCAACTGGAGTCGCAGCGGGCCTCCTCCAGCCTGCTCAAGCAGCAATCCTCATCTTCGGCTTCGGCAGATGAACGCTCCTCGGAAGCCGGCTTCTTGCAGGTTCCTTTGGCGGCTCACCAACAGCGATCCCATAGCTTCGACTCGGCAACTGCCTCGGGAGGCAGCGATGATTCCGGCACCTTTTTGGAGGTCCCAAGGCGGCTAAAGGTTCGCCGCACTTCGTCCACCAAGACACCACCGCCGTGCATCCATTGTCACTATCTGGAGGAGTACGAGCGCCGGATGACGGCCGACCAGCGCTACTTTATCGATCATCGCGAGCTGACGGCCCTCAGCTACAGCAACACCAGCTCGGAGGCCAGCGAGGACGAGGATGAGGACGAAGAAGAGGGGGAGGGTAGCACGGCCATTGAGGATGCCGAAGAGGAGACCACCGAGGCTGCCACCGAGGAGGCGGATGAAGACCCCCGCACCGAGGTGGAGTCCGAGCACGATCACGATCCGGATGATGATGCTGCTCTGGAGATGGACATACGCATTGGCAACATGAGCAGCCAGGGGAGCAGCATCGAGGAGTCGCGTGCCCGTCTGCCACGCCAAATGAGGCGTCACACCATCGGCAGCAGCTCGGTGACCTCGGCCTCCGAGGATGAGGGCTTGGAGGGATCGGACAATGGATCGCCCCACTTTGGCAACACCTTGTTGCCACCACAGCCGGCCACGCCGTGCGGCATAACCTTTACGCTGAGTCCAACAAACGGGGATTATCCATCACCACCGCATCTCCCACTGGATCCGGGCTCGCCGCCCATGTCGCCATGCTCCTCCCACTCGGGACGAATGCCAGCTCTGGCCCCGACCATTTCAACACCCTGTTCCTCCGCCGATGCTGAGGATGCCGGGGCAGCCATGGGTCTCCCGGTGCGGGCCAGACGTCGGTCGATTTCGCGACAGGAGGCAATATTTGTGGAGCCCACCGGCAACTCATTGGAGAATGTCTCGCACGAGGAGGTTGACAACAGCAACACCAACACCAAGTCATCGGTGGATACGGCTGATTCGCTGGAAGAGGCTTCGACAATGGCCACATGCGGATCCCCAGGAGCCGTTGGTGGCGTAGGAGCATCATCGTCGAGTCATCATAGCGCCTTCGTGGTGCGGGATATCTACCTAATGGTGCCGGACTTGAAGCGAGATCGCGCCGCTTCCGTGGATTCGTGCTTCTCCAAGCTGTCGTCGAACGCCAAAACGGAGGAGCTGCAGCCTAGTGCCGACGGGTGCTTCCTCACCGTACCGAACATCAATGCCACCAGGTCGCGATCCGTGGACATCGTTCTACCAACCGACGAGCAGGCCAGGTACAAGGCCTTGTCCATGACCGGATCCACCGTCACTTACGCAGATGGGTATGTACCATGCATAGATGTTGTGGAACCCGATACGATAGGAGTTATTTTAAAACACTATACATCACTAATTATACCCGTTACTCGTAGAATAAAAGGGTATACTAGATTCGTCGGAAAGTATATAACAGGCAGAAGGAAGCGTTTCCGACCCCACAAAGTATATATATTCTTGATCAGGATCACTAGCCGGTCGATCTAGCCATGTCCGTCTGTCCGTCTGTCTGTCCGTCCGGATGAACGCTGAGATCTCGGAAACTATGGGAGCTAGGCTATTGAGATTTGGCGTGCAGATTCCTGAGCTTCTTACGCAGCGCAAGTTTGTTTCGGCACAGTGCCACGCCCACTCTAACGCCCACAAACCGCCCAAAACTGTGGCTCCTACAGTTTTGATGCTAGAATAAAAATTTTAACTGAAATGTATTGTTCTCATCAATACCTATCGATTGACCCAAAAAAAAGTTTGCCACGCCCACTTTAACGCCCACAAACCGCGAAAACCTGTGACGCCCACAATTTTCATGCTAGATAAAAAATTTTAACTGAAATGTATTGGTCTCGTCGATACCTATCGATTGATCCAAAAAAAAAAATTGCCACGCCCACTCTAACGCCCATAACGCTTAAATCTGTATACCGCCGGTAGGTGGCGCATTTTAATCTCGCTTTGCTGCTTGCATATCTCCATATAGCTGAGTAACGGGTATCTGATAGTCGAGGTACTCGACTATAGCGTTCTTCCTTGTTTTTTTTTTTAAAGCAACATATTTTTTTTAATTTTTTCATATTTTCTTTGTTTAATTTTGTTGGTTAGTTAAAATGTTTAAATTCTAGAAAGCGTATTTACACATCGAATTGTTCTTCTTATTTCGTTCAAAATGTACCTGTACACCGAGCAGATGTCGAAAACGAAGCCCAAACGAACGAAAAAAGTTTAAACTAGTGTTATCTTTATGTCAGAGTTCACCCAACAGTTTTAAGCCTTGCCCCACCTGACATACACCAATTTAGATAGCAGTTCACTTTGACTTGGGGGAAAAAAACCGAACCCTTAGTTGGGCCACCCTTCATTGCTTACTTTCGGCTTCACTTTGCCAGAGATTTGAGGTTCCGCCATCGGCAAATCCCCTCCTAAGTTGGAAGGCTATTTTTAGAGCGGCCAACTTTTAAATTGACTCATTAAAACGAGCTTAACACGTGGCTCTCGTTGGGATTTTGGGATCAGCCCCAGGACGACGACGGACTGGAGATGCAAACCAGGGACCAGGGACTATCCTGTGCTACGTATCCCGAATCCCGAATCCCGAATCTCGAACCCCACTTGATGGGCGTATGTGACACGTGTGCCTTTCGGGGTGACACATTAGGTGCCCGTTTCTTGTCCGTTTGGTGTCCGTCAGTGGACTAAAACCCCGTCGACTTAAGCCTAATTAGAAAAGAAGGCTCCGGTCCACTTCGCCCCGGCAAATCATAATTCTCGCCAAGTTGGCCCACTGCCGTCGTGGACTAAAGTGTGCCGTATGCCAACCCTCGGCTTGAATAAATTATGGGAGCCCGCACGAAAAAATAAGCCAGACAGGAAAGCAGAAAATTAAAAGTACATATACTTTAAATGCCCTTCTAATAAATCATATTACCTAAAACGGGGAATTAAGAAGTATATATATCTTTCCTTAACAGGCTTTTTGTTTTTTTGTGGTAGCTATAGGGGCATCCAATCTTGGAGTGCATGAATAAAATATTTCTGGAATCAACAAACTTACATAAAGAATTAAGGGATATAATCGTGTTTCTATTAACAGTAATATTATTTATATATTTTTGTGATTCTTAAATTTATATTAATTATATTTAACAACCACCAGTCTTTTATTTATCATTATTTTTCTAATATTAAAAATTCATTTACGTGGCATATAAATTAGAAGCGGTGGAACTAAATTGGAAATTAATGATTAAAATGTATTTGGAAAAAGGATGAAGTTAATTTTAATTTTATGAAAAGTTACCAATCAAAAATCTTAGGAAATTAATCTGACTTTTATAATTTAGCATACCCACTATTAGGGTAGTAAAATTGGCTCAGCGAACCGATTTCCTTGAATTACAACAAAAGCCGCTCATAAATAATATTCAAACAAAGTGTCCTGTGTCCCGTGTCCGCTGTCCGTTGTCCGTTGTCCGTTGTCCGTTGTCCGTGGTCCGCGTATCCCATTGCCGGATGAATGACGAGAAGGCGAGTGGACCTCGTGTTCAAAGTGGCGAGGTGTGAGGCTGACGAACCACTTGCGGCCAATTTGTTTCACTGCACCACCAACCGAAAAAGCACCCAAGGCACCAGGAGTCCTCTTCCTTTTCGAGGGAACCGATATGACCGTGGATAATTCGGAACCCACCTCTGATGGATTAGATAGATTAGGACTCCCTGTGAGCGTGTGTGGGTTTTTCCGTGGCCAGGAACACGATTTCGTTCCGCGGAAAATTAATTAGCTTAGTGCTGGTTTATCGTAGGGAGAACACAGAAGTACTTATTATTATATCACAGAGGAGTTTTCCCTGGTAGGGGGTGAACTGTAACATATTGCCGTACTTGAAAATTAACTGAACCTACATAACTTGCCGAGAAAGTGGTATATATTGCCAAATATTTATTGGTTTTATACCTCATTTTTATTTCATTATTGAAAGTTGTTAATTGCATTGCCATTCATTCTCATATTCATTAAAAATTCAAGTGAACTCGGCACTGGCAATCCATAAATTGCTGAGGCATTCGCTTTGCACTCGAAAATATAAGTAAATATTTTCCCCAATGAATAATTTTTATTATCGCTCTTTTACTTGCAGGTACGTACATGAACACACACACACACATCGGTTAACCCTTGACTGCCCCCTATGCACTCAAAGATAAGTACTGGAAATGAAAATGAATTAATATCAAAAAGCGTTCAGTGGCAATTTGTTGTGGTTTGCTGTTGAGTGTTGAGGGTTGACCTGGGTGGATGGGTATCGTTTTTAATTTCCGATTCATGTTGTCCCAATTTATGGTCATTTATTGTCCCGTACATGCCCATTAAAATCTCTCTTCAGGGGCGCCCCATTAGTGGGGGCCCTGGGGCGTTGAGTTGGTGGGTTGGTGGGTCCCCTCATAAAGTTGGATTTGCTGATTTACGATACCGAAGCGTGACGCGTTATTATCTCCCATTTTGTGGCTCCCATTTCGGACATTCCACGGCAATTCTGAGAATTGACCACCGACTGATATGTTTAATTTCCCCCAACCCCCAAAATTTGTTTCCCTTTTTGGAGCTTTTGCTCGATAAAATGGAAAATATTATAAAATCATTCAATCATGCGACGCATGCCGGACACTGCAGCCATTTATTCTCGGTTCTCGGATGCGGTCTACACTCCAATCTCGACTCTTGAACTCTTTGGGTTCCATTCTATCATGCACTTGGGATAATAATATACCAAATAAAATACCAAATCATTTAGGATAATAATATACCAAATAAAATACCAAATCATTTAGGATAATAATATACCTTACCAAAGTTCGATAATTAGCCATTTTCAGGTGTCTAAATCGATTGATTTTGATCTCCAGAATTAGTTTGTTTCCTATTTTCCCTTTTTGTTTCATTCAGATTTTAAAATGTTCTTTTAAAATTAGCATTTTTTTCCCAGTGCATCGTCGACCATCCGTGCGTCTTTCTTTGGTTTCTTCAGTCTGTCCCCGGGGCGTGTGCGGTTCATTCATGCGACTTTGGGTCCTCAGACATTCCGCTGGATCTCCCGCCTTTCTCACCCCCTTTTTTCACCACCCAACCACCCACCAATCCACACAATAACAACAAAACCAACCCGACAACAATAACAACAAGAGATGTAGCTACCAGCCATCGAACAAGAAGGAACAAAAAGTTAACTTAACTTTTATGACAATGGGGCAAATAATTTTATGAAAACACTCCCCCGGGGGGAACTATATATATATGTATGTATATCCCACGGAACGTTTGGTTTGGAAAAGGAATGGGGGGGGAGGGGGTAAGCCGATGGGGAGTAGCAAAGTTTTGCATACATGAAATTAGCATATAACACTCGAGGGATATGCGATTGTGTTCCAAACTCGCTTTATTCCCTGATTGAGCTAACTGTTTTGCGGCGGCAAGTTCTGGATATGTTTTATTTATTGATAAAATAACTTAGGGAGATGAGAAAGATTATCTAAAATATTATACAAAATAAAATGTATATTGATTTATTATGATAACATATAATGTATATATTATCTATTGAAGATTGTCTTTGCTTTATATGGAATCCTAAAACAAGACATATAGTACATTCCCAAGAACTGGTTAATTATTTCCCTCAAAGTGAGATCTCGAGCACTCAAATGCTATACCGAAAATTCATTTTCCAACTCCCCGAACCAAAATAATAATTTAGAACAAGACGATAAAACTCTTGAACCAGGAAAAACAGCGGATGATAAATGAATCGCTTTAGTCTGTCTTCAGTTCCAGTTGTGTTATTATTTTATTCCTTTTTTTGCATTTAGTATTTTTTTTTTGTATCTGTATCTTTTTATTTGTATCTTCGCCCGGTTCCGCATTTTGCTGACGCAAGCGGCATGCAACAAGAGCATCTTTCACGGGGGCAACAGCAACATGTACGGCAGCAACCTCTGCGGCACAGCAGCAACAGCAACAGCAACAGCACAACAGCACTCATCTACAATTAAGTTTTAAGAAACATTTGTTTGGTTTTTTTCTGGTTTCTCGCGCTTTTCCTTCGCCGCAACTACGTCAGCACATGGGTGGGTGGTTAAGGGGGGCGGGCAGGGGCGTAGGTGAGGTTGGAGGCGCATGGAGGCGAAATTGAAATGCAAATTGAAAGGCACAAAGCGAGAATATGCCAAGCGAAACCGAACAATCAAAGCGGGAGACAAAGCAGCGACAACGTCAGCGATTGCGACTGCGACGCCG